GAGACAGGACTGAAAATAATTAGCATGTCAATGGGGCTCTGATGCAAAGTAACGTGCGTAGTAGCTATACATAGAGTAGCACACACGCTGCGTTTTACTACCCCCTGGTAAGCTCTCGTTATGGCAACTGAAACACCCACGTAATAATCTGTACACGCAGGCTTAGCAACTTGAAAACCCCCGTACAGACAACATGCAGGAACGAATCGAGACCCGAGTTGAAAACCTTCAGCAAGACGATGACTGTAGGGAGGGGTCGTATCACGATATATATGCACGACAGCAACGTCTTAGCGATGGTGATGGTATTTCATGGTATAATTAAAACTAAACCACGGAGAGTAGAGTCAATGTTTATCATAAATATACCCACAGAAATAGTATTGTAACAACAATAAGTGTTCTACCATAAGAATTATCATACAATATTTATTTCCTTGTTAACATCTCCCAAGACATATAACGCGTCTACATTAGTATACACACTCTATCTACTACTTAATAATTTCTTGCATCGTGCAAAGCCGGCATGGTCGCAACCTAAACCTGTGTTAGAACGATTTTTTTATAACTTAGACTAAGTACTATTTTATTTCCATGGCACTAATGCAATCATGCAGGATGACAATGCATACAAGAGCAGATCGTGATAACTGTAAGACAATGCCGCATGACTAACACAGACACACCAGAACCTGCGAAATTTCGACGTCCCTGTGAGATATATGTACGAAACTTTACTATTATATGCGATACACGTTTGTGTTATGTACTTGTCATTATTTATTCTCTCGGATGCAACTTCAGCAGAGAAGACAGCAAGAGCTAGCATGCATGCCATGCAGAGAGAGGGTCGAGTGGGAAAACAAGTGCGTGGGCGAGAGCAAAAGTATAAGAGAAAAGATAAGAAAAGAGGTTGGAGGTGGGGACAAAGAGAGAGAGAGAGAGAGAGATAGAGAGAGAGTGAGAGAGTGAGTGCGGGGGACGGGGAGCGTGTGAGTGTGAGAGAAAGAAAGTGGAGAACAGGAGCGTGTGAAATAAGAGAACGATCTATAGGGATGCTTCATGTCTTACAGGCATCTACTCTTGATACAGTACCTGGCGCTGCAATGATCCGATACTGGCGTACTGAGACATTTGCTGTTCTGACTGGGAGGTTATCAGCATCGATAGAGGGCGCGTTGTAGCATACTCCGACGACAGCGACTGGCGAGAGCGAAAATCAACACACAACATTTGTACACGATCTCATCTCGTCACGTTTACACGTAGAAACAGAAGCACCTCTGTGCTTCACTGCATCTTTCCGCTGATCGCTGTATTATCCTGATCTCTCTGGCAGACGAAGCGTACGAACAGGAGGATGGATGCAGAGAGAGGAATGAAGTGTGAAGCCATTATGATCTCATCACCAACGTGTGCAATCATGGACAGCAACCACGACAGCACTACGATCGTCACAGTAATGCCTAGATAATACTCCAAATGTTCCATCACTAATTGCGAATCAACTGCCCACAGCCCACCCCTGGTCTAATCGACTAATAAGCGTATCTACATGTTGCTCTACATTACACCTCTATATTCAATGACCCACGGAATTCCATGCTGCGGTTGCTCTACTACAAGGCTTACTACCGAGCCTTTCCCATAAACTTCATGTTATGTACGCAATACAACTTTGTCCCATATGAGACACTGTTATGAAGTAGGCTGCATTGATAACTCTTCATTGAAAGTAATATGTGGCTTGGTGCCACTCTAACTTGCGATGATGCCCTAAAATCTCTAATTAACCTCCAGACAATAGCTGCTTTGTAATCAAAAATAAAATTCGACGCATAAACTCTAGGCAGATTTGTTTTTGAACCCCCGATGACCACCGATGATCATGTCACAATGATATCGCATAACCTGCAAGCGAACGCAGTGCGGGAATGGTAGGGAGGGTGTGAGGCGGATGACTGAGAACCTGTCAAGTTTAAATATACATTTTGCCGTTTTAACAGATTTAAAACGGCGCAGCATACTAAAAACACAGCCAACTGTGTATATATATGTATATATATAACATTTGCAATTTCTCATCATATATACTTGCTTATGATTATTATTCTCTGCTTTTGGTGCATAAAGATTTATCATGCCATAGTAATCATAAAACAAAAGCCAATCACGGCAAGCGTGGAGACGCACAATTTAGCAGATTTGCTAAATTTACTCCAATTATGGTATAAGAAAAACAAACAGCGTGTCCATTATAAAGGTAATTACATCTGTGATTATTTATCGCATAGAAACATTAGGAATAATGCTAAGACGACTTTTAGTAGTGACGTACAACTAATTGTGCCACACGACGTTGGCATGCTCTCATGGCAAAATTTCCAAGAATACCCGAGGATGTACCAACAGGAAACAGAAATCGGTAACCTTCATGGCAGCATGGCACTGATCAACTAAGCATTCTGCCTCCCATCCGTTGTTTAACAGGTTTCGTTTTCAAACACATGACGAGGACGCCGTCACATTTTCCTCGGCCGCAACAGAAGACCGGCACGTATCACAGGAAACTGAAGCAGAGAGATATCCACATCACGGCGGCCATTCAATGTTATCACCTTTTTCAACAGCCACGGCGCCACTGCTATCCCGTATTATTCGACCTGTCAGAAACCCCCATAAGCATTACTCTTCCCGCTCTGCTTCACGCCATTCTACCCACGTATGCCTTTGTCTAGTCCTCTCCCATCCCTGCCTCCCTTCCTCTTTCTATAATGTAAAACTCGTCTGACGAATAAAAGGCAGATCAATTTTGCGCAGCCGAATCAAACGTCACGACACGCTGCTCTTCACGCCGCCGGACCGCGCACAGGCACGCAACGCCGCCCACGCAAGCACGCGACCGACGCTCACGACAAGCAAATGTTGGGAAGGGCTAATACTTATGGTTGACCTCAGCACAGGCGTATATCAACATAGTCAATCAAGTGCGTAAGACAGCGATTATATGGTTATTCCAACTTGCAAAAGTAACACAAACAAAAACATCCACACCGATTGTCAACACATTCAGTCAACCCTGCCATTCTTCTCTCTGTCCCTTATTCTCTCTCCCTCTCTCCTTCTCCCGTCTCCATCTCCAGTCTTCTCGCGTCCTGCCTCTCTCTCTCTCCTCTCTCCTCTCTCTCATCTCAGCGGGGTGGGCTGCATACATGCGGACAGTCGCTCCGCGGGGGTGGGCGGGAACCAGCGAGAGTGTGGGTTTCGCCTTTCGCAGCGCTGTGATTTCGCGAGAATCTCGTCTCTCTCTTCGTTCTCTCTCTCTCTCTCTCTCTCTCGTCTCTCTCTCCTCTTCGTCCATCATCTCTTCCTCTCCTCCCTCGTCCTCTCCCTCTCTTCCTCTCGCCTCCCCGTTCTCTCTTTCCTTCCTCGATTCGTCGCTTCTCTGCCGCCGGCTCGCGGTCTCCGTCTCTCTCTCCGTCCCTTCTCCTCTCTCGTCTCTCTCTCTCTCTCTCTCGCTCTCGCTCTCTTACTCGTTCTGGCCCCTTCTTTTTTCCACTCACACTGTATAACTTTGCTTGCCTACCACTCACTGTTTTACGTACACACATGATGACAAGCACGTATATGCACACGCACGCGGGCAAACACAGCCATAAAGCAGTCTCTCCCACCATGCTCACATTGGAAGTATTCCAAGGCACAAATAGAATGCCTCGTGAATTCAACCCCGTGTTGTCACGGCAACACAAAATGCTTCCTGCTTCCCTTATATCCACAACAGTTATAAACCGATTTTGGTGTGAGCTATTTTATTTTAATGTTTGGGCAATCTTGAATTGTTTTACCCTGCAGCACACTGCGCTTGGCAAGAGTTCATAATAAAGGGGTGATAAACAATTATTGACTCAAGAAATATTGAAACAGCGTACTTTCGTGCAAATGCACATTGTCATACAAATTTACATTAAATGAGACGTTGAAATGTCAAATATGAAAGGTTGCTGTATGCTCGTTTGGTTACATTATGAGCAAGTAATTTGCCTTGTTAGCTTAGACAAACACAGTGAATTATAAATATAGTGGCTCGATGCAGCAGAGACAAAACATGCCAAGAACAAACACGAGAAGTTGTTTTACAGGGTACGTTGTCACGTACACATGCTAATCTCCCCCTGCTCACCAACACTAGCAGACAGCGCGTGCGCGAGAGAGAGAGAGAGAGAGAGAGAGAGAGAGAGAGAGAGAGAGAGAGAGAGGACAGAAGAGAGAGAGAGAGAGAGATAGAGAGGGAGAGAGAGAGAGAGAGAAAGAGAGAGAGAAGGGGAGAGAAGGGAGGAAGGAGTGGGAGAGGAGAGTGAGTGAGTGAGTGAGTGAGTGAGTGAGTGAGTGAGTGAGTGAGTGAGTGAGTGAGGGAGTGAATGAGTGAGTGAGTGCGAGACACAGAAACAGAGAGAGAGATACAGAGATAGATAGATAGAGAGAGAGATATATATAGATTAGATAGATAGATAGATAGATAGATAGATAGATAGATAGAGAGAGAGAGAAAGAGAGAGAGAGAGAGAAGAAGAGAGAGAGACACGGACAGAGAGAGAGAGAGAGAGCAGGAGAGAGAGAGAGAGAGAGAGAGAGAGAGAGAGAGACAGAGACAGAGACAGAGACAGAGACAGAGAGAGAGATAGAGATAGAGAGAGAGAACAGGGAATCCAGAAGGAGTGTCCCATAACAGTGCGCACACCCACACTTGGGACTCGTGCGGACATCCTCCATGAGAGTTAGTGACACGTGTGAGTGAGTGACAACTGCTGTCACATCCTGACACTCAATCCAAATGACTGTTAGTGACGCGCACGTGTGTGAGTGAGCCGTGATGCCATTGCATTCCATTACACCAGCATTCTGAGTGCATTTATAAATACCTGGCTTTTTTCTAACGCGGGCACGCCGCGCATAGCCGGCCCTAACTTGTTCCGCTGCATGGACGTGTACAATACCTCAGCGCTGTTGATTGATGGCTGGTTGCCAGGGGCGACTGTCGATGTTACCATGGCACCAGAGGCTGGACCGCCCACAAGCCGTGGCTTCGTGCCGGGAGAGGACATGGAGAAGGCGCTGCTGCTGTCACTATTCTCCTCTCCCGCTATGCTTCCTGCAGAGACAATGACGACAGGGATTGCAGCCGTGAGCAGCATAGCAAACATGACGACACTCGACGCGTGATCAAAATAATCATCTATTCATCTGTGATGATCTATGAAGATTATGACCTATGAAGATCATAATGGGTTCATATTGTTCACACTTTATAGTTCACACTATATTTCACACTCATAAGGTTCACACTTTAGAAGGCATATTCGAGGTATGACAAGGCAGACTGCCCGCATCCCTTTCCCTATTCAACCTGCATGAAGCCATGCATGTTCAACATGCCCACCTTGGTAGCTGGAGCCATGCTTAGAGGGCATTTGCGGAGAATACTGAGAGCCTGTGTACTTCCCACTCAGCGAGTCGTTGTCATCTAGGTACTCCTGCGAGGATGAGTCAGCATTGCTCGCACCTGAAACACAAATTAATCTTTGATCAAGTCATCGTTAATAAACAATTGTTAGCACCTATCATAGTCAACTGCAATATCACGGCGCCATTTCACGCATTGTGCAATCTCTATTTTGATTGTGTGATCCAGTGAGGAATTCTATATGATAAACCAAACTGAAATTTATACAGTAACCATTTCGTAGTACAGTTATCATTCAATCATAATCATAATCAGGTGCTCATCTTTTCAAGACAATGTGATACGTACTTAAGAGTAGTATGGTTTATCATCTAGACTAAAGCTTCTTGTCAAATACATATACAAATACATATGTATAAAATATTTCCTGTATTGTTTCGGTTTTGTCACAACGTCTGCAGTTTGTATTTACCCTATAAATAACATAGGAAAACTGAAATCGTAAATATTTACTTATTAAAACACACCCAGATACACACTCGCACACACATAAGCATCCACGCGCACCTGCACATGCAAATATGTAGCCACCCCCCGAATCATGTACACACGACCACCACACACACGCACGTCTTCGGCTAACATGCAGCCACGCACCCACGCCCACCTGCACACGCACATACACTCTTGCTCACTCATGGCAGACACCTCAATAACAGCTCACCTTCCTCGTCGTCTGCAAAGTCGTCCTCGTCCTCCTCACGGTCGTCGTCCTCGTACAGATCGTCGTCGCTCGAGTCCACCAGCTCTCTCCTCTTCTCCTGCAACAAGCAGCAGCATGCGCATGAAGGACGCCCCAACCAGCTTCACTTCTCGCGACACACGACAAAGACACGCACAGAAACCTACAGAGCTAATGCGAGAGAGAAACCTTCCCCTCTCCTGCAACTAGCAGCAGCATCCGCACGATTGAAGCTCCGAGCAGCTTCACTTCTTGCGACACATGGCGAAGATGCGCGGGGGAAATCTATAAATCTCATGGGCAAGAGAAATCTTCCCTGGTTCTTAGTAAAGGAGAGGGAAAATCAATAGGCTCGCGGCACGATGCCGCCACGTCTGGTCGGATACGCACACAGACACGGGTTGCTACCTAATAGTTTTTACATAACGATTCCTCCTGGCTTCGAACAAGCTTAAAAGGCTTTTATAGGGTTAGTGGACTGAAGGGCAGGCCAGACTGTTATAGAGAAGATCGCACGGAATTTTTTAAAGGGATTCTCAACACATCTGTATGCACAAACATGCTTGCTTCATGTGTGAAGCAATTGAAGGCAACTAATCAATGATTGCGATCTACAGACGATGTCCAGAAGCTCACAGATTAAATGCTGACCAATGGTCAGAATTTTATACATGCATCAATCAACTCATGCATTATAAGTGTTAATATTTAGGCCAACACAATTGTGCAATTTTATTCAGTTAAGCTCAACAACTGTCAATAGACCAAATCTAGCGTTATTAGACCAAATGCATTTGTTATCAACCGCTAGACCTTCGATTTTATAGCTAGCGCCATCTACAGGTGTTCCTTAGAATGATGGTACACTCGAGTTTACTTGCTCTGTAACGGAAACTGCCAGATGTTATAGTTAGACGTTACAGTCTGTGTGCGTGCGCACGTGCATGCGTGCTTGTGTGCACGTGCATGTGTGTGTGTGTGTGTGTGTGGGCATGTGTGTGCGTGTGTGTGGATGTGGGTGTGTGTGCGTGCGTGTGTGCATGCATGTGCGTGTGTGCGTGTGTGTGTGCATGTGTGTGTGCGTGTGTTATTAGATGACATGAGTACTGATGTATTTAGTTACCTGCTCCTGAAGAAACTGTTGCAGCTGTAATTGGTGACTAGGGTGGTTCGGTGGTCGGAAGGCAGATGGATTTGTGCGTATGTGCACACGGTCAGCTCGACTACTGGCGACTCCCATTCGTGGAACTACTTTCTGCGTCTTGGGCACCTGTGCTGTAAGCTGTCCACCTATACACAGCAAATCAATGAGGGAGGGCATAACAGAAGCCTGTACATTTATCCCTACACATAATGCTCCCTTTAGAGTCTAGACGTATCATGTATATGTTAACCATACAGACTAGTGGGACTTTTTATTGCCTGAAAGAGACAACTGACCATCACCGCTACTTTTACAATAACCCTGATTTTACCATATTGAATACATTATGGATTTTACCATAATGATCACACCAGAAACCTACCCTATGGTACAGCAGTAAGCTACCATATTACATACTATGCCCTACTCTCACACATCATACCCTGTGAACTGTTATCGCAAACTGTACAAAACTTTACTCTTCATCGGACTCCTTGATAACGACGCACAACATCAGAAATCGCCCTACAACCAAAATCTCTGCTGACGCAGTCCAGCGAAATGCATTCAGTCATGGAATGTGGAAGAGCTATAACATCATAACCAGCAGCGCCGCTAACGACAACTGACGACTCCGTAACAGCAGCCTACCTTCTCGACCCGTGTATGACATTGACAGTGGTGCTACGTTGTCGGGCTGACCCTGGTAGAGCGAGAACGCGGACGCCTGGTTGGGGAATGATGTGGACAGCGATGTCGTCATCGCCGCATCCCGACTCGTCTGTCGCACCTGTGCGATCGACATCGGGGGACTCGTGGTGGCAGCAAGAGGTGGAGAGTGGTATAGCGATCTCTGATGCTGCTCCATTGACGTCCTGCAGGATTAAGCAGAAAGACACGTAGCAGTAACTAGGCACATATATAATACAAGTCTATGGACATAGCATCGAAAATATTTAGATAACAAACTTGCACTAAACAGTTATACGATTCTGGAATTTGTAAATACATTTATTAGCACATATTTAATGCATGAGCTGTAATCATTTGCCCACAGATGAGAAGCAGAAATGGCTGAACTGAGAAGCGCCCAAAAAAAGGAACAAGGAAAAATGGTACGTTAAACGAGAATGATTGAGCTGGGACTATGAGCTGTCTGTTTACTGAACACAGGCTGTAAAGCTCATTGCCACGCCAGCGACGAACAACTAGTTTTGACCCATGGTAGTCTTACCAGGTTCATATAATGGTTCCCATACTTGTAATAATACGGGGAATTCACAAAAATATAGTTTTTTTCCATAACACCCCTGGTAAAATACCTTATACTTGCAGTACAGTGAATGCATTCAGTCAACTTATTTCTAACATATAGTTGTATTCCCCACCCCTCACGCACATAAAGCTCTGAAATCGAGAGCTAGATGTACCACTCATTCGATTTACACTAGAAAAGATTAGATTTATGAAAAACTTTCCCTGAGAAACACAATTTATCAAGCCGCACAACCCAAACCAATGCACAAACTCAATTGATTACAAGATTCGCTCTACTACAAAATCACAAATGCCAGACAGAACATCAGTAGGGCAACGGATGGACCGCGCCCCCTGACAGTAATATCATACCGAGGTCGGGGGGCATGGCCGGGCGGAGACGTATCGGTGAGGGTCTTGCACATGTGGTACTTGGCCGATGCCGCGGCGATGTCCTCAGCTTCCTTCGCGTGCTTCTTCGCCTGAAGTGTCAGTGATGCGTAGTCGTGGTGACCCGGTGCGGCAGGCGTCTGCTTTGGCTTCAGATGCTGCAGCGTTGAGTAGTCGCCGGGCGACAGCCGATGTTGCTTGTTGCGTTCCTGCTTGCCGAGGTGCGTGCGGTGCTGCGCCAGCGACACCGCCGCCATCTTCGGCTGCTGATCGGTGACGAGACGCTGCGACTGTGGTTCCCGCGGCGACGACAACGACAACGCATGCTCGCCGCTCGCCAAGCGCAGCTTCGTGATCTCGGCGCTGCGCAGCCGCTCCGAGCGCGCGGCGTCGACGGTGGCGCCTCCACGCGCGATCGCCGCACCGCGCGCGACCGCGGCCGCGCTGCGCGAGTGCTCGCTGCACTTCGGATGCTGCAGCGTCGCCGAATGCTCAGCGGGCGACGCCGCCACCAGCGCTGCCGCGTCGCCGCCGCAATGCTGCAGCGCGTGGAACTCCTTCGCGTACTTGTGTGAGTCGAGGAAGCGGCGGCTGACCTGCGGCGAGCGGTAGGCGCGGGTGGACGCGCTCCTCGCGCCACCGCGCTGGAAGCTGGCGCCGCCGAGGGCGGCTGTCTCGTCGGCGCTGCCGTACGTGCGCGGCGCCGCGCGCTGCGGAGCTGCCGCCCCCGTCTCCGGCGTGCTGCGCGACGACTGCGCCGAGCTCTGTGAGCTGGGCGACATCGGCGCCTCCTTGGCGGCGCGACGCGGCGGTGGCGGTGCCGGCACCGCGTCGATGTCCTGGTCCTCGGGCACCGTCTGTATGCTGAGCTCTAGCGCACGCAGCCCGCTGTCAGAGCCGCGGCGCGCTGAGCCGACCCCGCTGCGCTGCGGCCGCGGGGACTCAGCAACGGCGACGTCCACGCCACGCGACACCGCGTCACGCGACGACAACGACTCACTGCGCAGCGGGCTGTGCGGGGTGCGCGACACGTCACACCACTGCGGGCTGTGCGCGGTGTGGGCCGAGTCTGCCCGCTGGGGGCTGAGCGGCGCGCGCGAGGGGTCGGAACGGCGAGGGCTGTGTGGGCTGTGAGGGGTGCGGGAGGAGTCTGACCGGTGGGGGCTGTGAGGCGCGCGCGAGGGGTCGGATGACCGCTGCGGACTGTCCAGCGAGCCGTGGCTCTGCGACAGTGAGCTGCTATCACTGGAGCGACCTGACGAGTGCTGCCGATCGACCAACGGATCAGTGCCTTCCGTCTTGCTGAACGCCGTCTGAGACACAGAGGATATGGAAGAGCTGCTAGCTTTTCTGTGCCTGTGAACATCAGGAGGGAGAGGACAACGCTGTATGATTTTTTGGCAATAATCTCTTGAAATAGCCAGTATAATAACAGCAAATATTTAAGCAAGTATGCTAGGCAGCACAAAATATCCCAGTGCTACACGTTTCTAAACCTACCTCTAAATTAACAACGGGCCATGGGATTTGTGATGGGGTTTCTATGTGATGCAATGGTACTAACTAGCTTGTATATCAAGTGGTTTGAGACCTTACACGCCTTACGACACATAATTATCAGAGGTGGCTTGAGACCCTTATGGTATCATAATGTAGTATAAGCTGTAGTATAACAGTTGCATTACAGCACATGAAACGAGACGAGCATTGGGCAAGCGCTGAAGTGGCAACACTTGGGTGTTACCTTGAAGTGCAGTCTCAACCACTATATCCTGAGACCTACACGAAGACTGCATTACATAGATGCTATTACTGTTACCTGCTATGTTGGTCGTGTACACCTGACCTTGCCTGTCCATTCATGTGCCTGTCTCCGTCCTCGGGCCTTCCATCCACCTCCTCACCACCCCCTCCAGGCTGACCCACGTTATGCCTATGATGGTGGTAGTGATGCTGCTGCAGAACAAAACGCAATGTGATTGAAAACATTAATGAACAATTAGTTCAAATACTATAAAACATGTTTACAACAAGTTTCATGCACTGCGTACATGCCCACACTCGTATGTATTTTTCATTAGCATAGTTTTAATAATCTTTCCTGCAGGTCCTACTAATACGACAGGAGTTGTTTCACAATTCTACACTTCTTCTTCACAATTCTTCCAAGTGTTGTGTCAGTGTTTTTAAGCACTTACTAATATTCCTAAGAAATAATACATGTTTATGCTTACTTAACAACACTTCCAAACGATCGTACATATCGATTAGCCATCTGCAGTGAGTTAACTTTCATTTTGTTCTGCTCACATCTTGCAAGACTAGTAGAATAAACACTCGAACTTTCTAAAAACATCAGTAGTAAGGATATACGGTTATATAAACAAGGTTAGGGGTACTGGATGAGAAGGGGTGGCGAGAATTTGTTGCTGGATGCAGACAGCCATAAGGGAATGGAAAGAGTTCATAGATAAACTGTTCATCTTCAAGAATTAGATGTACTTGTGTTTGTAGCACTATGTTCAAAGCTTAATTTACATGTTGGAAATAATTTTCCTGTGCGTTTCCTGGTTAATTACTGCTTCTCAGCCACTACCAGACTATCCCCAACGAAATCCTTACAATTTTATGAATAATGGTGAACATTATTACCTAACATGCATAAGTGTGTTAAGTGTGTAAATTTCTCGCTTGAATGTTTCGAGAGATAATTAATTTACATTTCAGAAAGGACACTGCCAAATGATCTATAGTTTTCTGTAATTCAAGCTAACATTTCAGGGTTGGTTAGGTTGTGTACGGGCAATATATATTGAATATATTGAAATTAAACACTAATTTTGTGGGAAAACAGCCCAGCACAACTTGGATAGGTAACTGGTGATTCTGGCAGTTATAAATAATTCATACGCAGCACTAGATACGAGGTGCCCACAGCAGGTTTCTGATGGCTCATAGACTGCTGGTGCACCCAGCAGGTCAGTTGCACCCTCTCTACCACACTGAAAATGAACGTGTGATGGAGAATCGAAGTTAAGCTGGCTGCTGGGACCAACCCATTGAATTCGTCTGACACACGAAACCAACCCGTGAGACAACATAGCCTGTAGCATCTCTGCTCTCGGCCTGTCTCATTCGTGAACAAGACCGTGCCTGTGGGTGGAGCTACCATAAAGCACTCATGATACCGTGGCTTACGACGTAGCTAGATGCTGCATAGGTTTCCACTGATCTATGTTAGGATGTCCCTCGAGGGCCGCACCGCCGCCTCCACATGCCAATAGAGCTTTTTGCAAGGCCTCAAAAATGCAGTCAAATGGATCAGCCCTCCGGGACAGATATCGACGCACGCGAGATTTGATTGCGCCGTGCAGCAGCGGATCGGTTTACTCGAAACGTTAAGAGCCGAGATTTTACGCTCGACAGAGAACGGCGCTGATGGAAAATCTTGCCCGTTTTGACGTCATGTCGCATCAACCTGGTGGGCTTGAATTGAACGCTCACTTTGCCACTCGCTCGGCGTCGCGAGAGAGGAAAAATCGCTGGAGGAGCTGGGAAAATGCAAGACCTTAATATGATCGACAGGTAGCGACTACCACAGCATTAGTTTAAGGACAGAAGACATTAGAGAATGTTCGAGTATCTCTGGGGATGGGCGCTCCAGAACTGCATGAAGATGTATGTAACTGTAAATATTTGCTATCTGCAGGGAAACTGACTACGCACGTCATTCCTTGTTGGCTCAGCCTTCTGGGACGTTAAGGAGTCAATCTAGTTTCAAAAAACAAATTCTGCAAATGCGAAGTTAGGGAAATGACTAGCATGTGTAGGATTGCCAAGGAAACATTATTATACTTAACATACTTATGACGAAGAAGAGCTGGCGTGTAATGACGTACAGGAGGGGTATATGAAACCACTGCACTGTTTAGTGAGGGCAGGTGCCAGTTTGCACATGGTAGCTGGGACTAGTGTGTGTGTGTATTCGCGCGCGTGCGAGCGTGCATGTTTGAAGGTTGTAGGGTGGGACGCTCACCTTCCGTCTTGGCTTAGGGGAGGGGCTAGTCTGTGTGCCTGATGATGTCACCAGCTGGACTCGCTGCACCGGTGCTGGCTTCCCTGCCTCCGTGGGAGGCGGCGGCATCTTCTACATAGAAACAAACACCGATTATCTCTCACATGCATGGCACTACAGTGTGTCACGCGGGGCTCAACCCTGCACACGCAATACTGCTAAGTAAGCACTATATAATTAACGAGAAATTGAAGTGCACTATCGAATGACAGTATAATATGTAATATAATATAATTGGATAAGTGAAATGATCAGCACAATGCTTATTTTTGCTTTTATTTCATTATTCTTAAATCCACACTAAATGTAGGTACCTCACATTTACTTGCAATGAACTGTTTATTGTACAATATGCAAGCTCTCTCTCTCTCTATCTCTCCCTTGCTCCTGTTCTCCTACCCCTCTCGTTCTTGTCCTCCCCTACTCCCTCTCTCCCAAATGTACACACACGCATGCACACGCGTACCAGCGCACGCACACACACATACGGTGGAGCAGAGATATACAAAATTACAAACACACCCACATGTGTTAATCGATGGGCGCGCGCATCTTAGCGCCACAACCACTCACGTGTTATCAGTGTCATCAACTGCCAGCTCATCGCAGAAAACAAGCGAACAGCTGCGTGCCAGGAGCTCGTGCCCTCACCTTACACGATTCATTAGCCCAGCCCGTAATAATCCCTAGACAAAGTCTCAGGAGGGACACCTCAGGCACACACAGACACTCTCTGTCTCTCTGTCTCTCTCTCTCTCTCTCTCTCTCTCTGTCTCTCTGTCTCTCTGGCTCTCTCTCTCTCCATCCCCCTCTCTCTCCCCCTCCCTGTCTCTCATCTAACACCACGGCTTCCATATGCTTAGCGTGTTCACGGCACGCTGCTTCCCGGTTGACATGGCGTCAGATTCATGGCAGACTGTTTGCACTCTAAAGGCGCCGATGAATAATATATTGCATTAATAACACTTTAAAAATCAGTACACCGCCTAAACAGGGGGACGGAGAGTAGGTAGGTTCATGCAGAGGTAGAAATGCATTCATTACAAGCCCCCGCCTCTTTTTGGTTTTGCTTTATGTAAGAAACATCGCAGCAACTCACTGCTCGTGACATTCCATTTCCATTAATTCCATTCCAGCATGGAAAGAGACACCGTTTTGAGCGAGGCCACGCCACGGCAGACATTTTTCTTAGGACCCACGGTGTTTCTTACAAACAGTCAAACCTCGGTTATCCGAACACCAATTATCCCAATTTCGGATTATCCGAACAAGATCTCAAGGTCCCGTGAATAATACCCTTTTAATATTTACAATCAGATCAGTTATCCGAACAAAATACTCCCCACCCGTGCCGGTGACTAATATAATGCCACTGGACACCCTTCCATTTTTCGACAAGTTCCAAGTGAGAGAAAGCTAGTTTACGCGCATTTATTTCCTCACACGGCAAAGCTATATCTAGTGTTTATAGTTATCTCAAAATCCAAATACGAAATTATGAGTTTATTTGCTAGATATGCAGCTTATTTTCTCTGCTACAGGACTGCAGTCAAAACTCAGGACAAGGGCTCGAGCTATCTCATAACTAAACAGATTTTATTATCGTCGCTAAAACTAACGTCTGGTGTACATATGCAATCACGAAACCGAGGCAATTTCAAATCATAATTGGTAATTTTTCATGCACCGTTTAGCTTTGGGGAAATCCATTTTCTAAAATGGGAAATTTGTTATTACAAAGATGATGAGCTGTTAGATTAATTACAAAGTCTCTATGGCTGAGCCCATAAGTTTGATTATCAAGAACCTACGGAGTCAACCTAGTGATGGCTGAAACTTTTCATAGGGTTTTCATATCTTTTACAAAATGTTTTTTTCCCCATTTTAGGTTTAGCTTTATACATGTACGTTCATTAAAGTTATGCTATACATCAGCCAGTGGTCTTAGCCAACGACACATGGAACCAGTCTACATAACATCGCAAATAAAAACCTAGGTATTATTTATTTCCTGATAAAACGCATTTCGCGTTTTGGAATTTTAGAACAGTGGGCCTGTCGCTATATGAACGCAACAGCTATTCAAACTTTGTCGATGAATGTAAAATCCAAAGCGACGAGAGGCGATAAGAGAATCAATATTCATTACAGTATTTATATATGATGAACCACTTTTCAATCATATTTTTAAAACATCAATATTATAGTTTTACCGCGAAAGTGCACTGTGCTGTGTGAATATACAGACATCTAGATTTCTAGTGTGAATCCCATGTGTGCGTGCATGTGTGCGTGCGAACATGCGCGTGACAGCGAGACAACCAGCGCCTATGAGTCGCCTCACCTTCTTTATCTTCACCAGCACCAGCCTATTCCAGATACTGAAATCCATTCTGCGCTCACTGTTGCTACCAAGCGCCCAACATCAGGCGACCCTCAGGTGCCGGCACAGCGACGACTTGACCACACTGGATTCACTAGAGCAAGCGCCACTACACAAAAACCTGCATTCCGCTTACAGCTACGCATTTATACAAGGGATCTGCAGAGTTTTTTTTGCACGCACGTTATTGTCGACCCGGCTGGCCCGAGCCGGCGGCAGACAATGCAGGCCAGCAGGCTGGTGCCAAACAGAATCTGAATCACTAATTCCTACAGGGACCTCTCCGCTAATGCTTCTACTTCGTAATTAATTTATCAAGTTTTCATTATCGAGGCATAATTCATTAGGTTTCCCGCCCTGCCATTAGCAAACGCGCGGGCACAAAGCACGTGGCTCGCTGGCCTGTTGTAGTGTTGGATAATGCCGCATGGAGCGCTGCTCCATCTGCTGCTCGCAAATGACTGGGCGGACAACCGGTCATGATCACTGTGATACGTAGCTGATGCAACAGCTGCATTTACTCCACTTGCTAATGCTAAACCATAGTTAGTTTGAAGGAGTACTATACGTGTGTCGGGCTTAAGCCTAGCTATAACAAACAGCGCGATCTCTTGTTTCGGTATACTCAGAATATATCCAGATCATTGCCACTAGATTGATTAAATAAATCCATGTGGCTGAGCTCGTAACTTGACGTGATGCGGCCATGATGCTGAGGCGCGCCGAGGATTGACACTTTGTGTCTTCCAATCACAGCCTACGCCGCACCAGTCTTTTATATTTTTAAAGATGGGGACCCATTGGACCACCAAATCACCGATCTCAGGAACTAGGAGAATTCTGCTATGTTAGAACGGTTTCCTACGATAGAGTTTGCCACAAATACGAAAATAACATGCTGTTTAGCGCACTGCGCTACGTCCTTCTGTTGCATTTCGCATCTCCGTAATCAGAATAAGCCCCGCCTTATTCGTTGATGAACATAAATGGGGCGTCACCGACGTGACCAGTTACTGTACCTACTGTCTTTCGCCAGCCTGTTTACTTTTCGTAATTAATGAAATGCCCGGCCAATGCATTTCGCATCAAAGTGGAAAATTTCCGGCATTTTCACTCGCTGTCAGAAGTGAACGAGTGCGTCATTCATTGAACATTGAGGTTTTTCTTCAAATTAAATAATTCCGAAAATCCCTAACCGCGCTACTCGATTGTTTTAGCCAATGAATGACATATCCGTGACTAACTGACACCACTAAATTGGTAAAATGTTCCATGCACCTTAAGAAATGCTGAGAAATTACGAGGTTATCATCGCAGAACTCCCGACACCGCCCATCCTGATGTCACAAAGCTATATGTAAACAAACACGCGTGTTGCGAGGTGCGTGCCTCCGATATCCATTTCGAGGCCCGCTAAGCCAAGCATAAAGCGCGCGGGCAAGACGTCACACACACAGCTACGTACGCAGTAAGTACTAACCGTATATGTTTCACATACGTTCACCTATTTTGCACACAGGCGGTCGATCATTGTGAAAAATTGTGTGAATATTTATTTTCATTGAGATGTTCCAAGTGCCTGTGCTTTTAACAGTCTTGTACGTCAATGCACGTGCGTCAAGAGCCACAAACTCAACACAAGTTCATCTCTGTTATTGTTGACGCCTGAACGCGTGATTGATCAGGGAGGGGGTGCATGTAAGAGGGAGACATTTTCGTTGGGGTTCCGAGAAACACAATTCCAATTGACAATTTCATGGGCCATTTCAATTGGAAGCTCTGCATAATGGACCCCCAACAAGCCCTTTGACTGACTAGTCAAGAAATTTAAAGGCCTGTATATTGCTCTTATTTAGCCGCCGATAGTTCTTATTTAGAACAAAGTCTTCATTGTTATCTTCTAAAACTACAGACCATCCGCTGACCGCTGTGCAGACGTGCGCCGGGCCTCGAATTTGGCGCACGTCTCCACTGCGGACAGCGCTTCATACTTGAACATCCCCGCGGTCGCGTGCGCATATCCCGCGGAACTGATCAACAGCAACGCTGTGCGACGTAATCTTGTATCATGTCTCTCTGGTTGTGGTGAGGATATAGTAATGATGATGATGTTGAGTGCGAGGAGAAGAAAGAGGAGGGGAGGTGGTGGAGGAGAATGAGGAGGAGGAGCAGGAGCAGGAGCAGGAGGGGAGAAGAAGGAAAATGGGGGAAAAGGGGGAGAAGGCGAAGGAGGAGGAGGAGGAGGAGGAGGAGGAGGAGGAGGAGGAGGCGAGAAAGGCAGAGGAGGTGAGAAAGGCAGAGGAGGAAGAGGAGGACAAGGAGGAGAGGATGAGGGATGAAAAGTATGAGGAGTAGGAGGGGAGAAGAAGAAGGAAAATTGGGGGACGGGGAGGAGGAGGAGGAGGAGGAGGAGGAGGAGGAGGAGGAGGAGGAGGAGGAGGAGGAGGGAGG